CAAAAAATTTTGATTCTGATTATAAACCAAACAAACCCTTAATTAGATGTGCTCCAAATCCGACCCACTTCATACCTGATTCATAAATGCAGACCGGATTGTCGTCGAACTCATTCATAATCCATGTGTACTGCCATTATGCTATAATGATAAAAACCCGGATTCCTATTCACTTTCTCTACTCGCACCTTACTCACAATACACTGCAGCCTGCACATCTCACAAAATGGGGATGTGTGGCTGCAATTCAAGATGGATAGAGAGAGTGGGTAGGAAATAGTGAATAGAAAATCCGATTTGTAATGATAAGACCTTAATTTATGTTTATTTTTTAACTCTCATTCAGTCCTCCCAAAATAGTGATCCTATTCAGTCATTTGCAACCGTGTATTATTTCAATATTTCTAACGCACAACTGTCAGTGACTGTGAATAAATTGTGAGCACCGTTTTGTGGGGACTGAATCCCATCTCCGTTTTTTTTCTAAATTAGGAAATTGCTTAAAAGGGTAAACACTCAAAATAGTATTTGTGTTCCATGCAGACCTTAATCGTCATCCAGTCCATCTTGAGGAAGACATCAAAGGATTGCACACTCACTTTGACACAACCACTGATCTGAGCCGTTGATTTGGTTGATCATGTCCGCAAGAGAAAACAGATAAGTCCACCCACCTAGCGGCAATGATTGATCAAGAATAAAAAATGGACGAGTCAGAGGCACTACTGCAAAGCATCACCTAAAGAAGTTAAGAACATGGAGACCAAGTCAACGATTCCAAGAGTGGAGACAAGTGGGATAATTAGTTGGTAGGAGGGTATTTTGGCCATTAGGATAGTCGGAATGGCACTTTATGTAAATTAAAAGGAAAATACGAGACGACAACCAGTAAGGCAGTAACCACATGCGGAGGGAATCTGATCTATGTCGCTAATGGTACTTGTTAGGTCGCGGCTTCATTGCCTAATTTTGTTTTCTATTTTCTTAAAATTTATTAACGCCCAAAAACATGTTAAATACAAGAAAGAACCAGAGGCGGGCGGGACCCACTCAACAGAAACGCATGATTTTTTTTTTTAATTTGGGTTTATTTCCCATTTTCGGTGCGAATTATTTAAAGAGCTCAGAGAGTTTAGATATCCCAGATTCCCACCTTCGTGCTTAGTCATCACTTGCTGCTCGTCTCAGTATTTTATAGCTGTTATTTCCAAAGTTTCGCTAACGAACGAGAGAGAGGGAGAGAGAGAGAGAGAGAGAGAGCATAAGCGCACGTTATCTGCAGGTGGTGTTTCTTCAGACAACAAAGATACGATTGGGCGTGAAAAGGGTTCCAGCTTCCAGGATTTATTTGAATCTCTTGTTTGTTGGACGATCCTAGTATTGTGTTTGAGGATTCACAGAGCTGATCTATCTGTTGTAAATTTGTGATCGGAGGTTCAACCAATCGATCAAACTAAGGTAAGTGTTTTCTTACTCCATTAGTTGCCTTCTGTTCTTCTCGATTTGATGTCAAAAGTATGTAACTTTGCTTCAGTGACTGCCATTTTTTGGACATTTTCAAGAGGAATTTAACCGCCGTCCATTTACAAGCATAATCTGAAGCTTACAGACTGTTATTTCCTGTCAGAAATATAAGTTTTCTTGTTATAATTTGAAATTCTTATTATTTCATGGTTTCCGGACTCCAGAGCATCTCTCGCTGCTTCGTCGGGGCGACCTTAATTGATTATAATTCTTTGCTTTTCCTATCCTTCCTTTGCTTCCCTTAGCTCAATGTTTGTTGCCTAAAAAATCGGTCAATGACTTGCCGATTGCTTTGTATTTGTGTTCTTTTTAAGCATCTTGTGTGAGATTGTCCAGACACGAACCTATTTGTATATAACTTCCAAAATTAGGGTTCCATACTTCAATTTCTGTTGGCAGACACGAGAAAATTCCTGGGAATTATGCTTTAATTTTGGTTTCACTCCTCTTCATGAAACACTAGTCATTAGATTTCTCTGTATTTTTTAATATCGTTTTTGCTGTTTTTACAAAACGGAGACTTCCGATCCTCTCAGAAAATCTTGTACCTCTTGTTGTTGTTGCTTCAGATTCTAAACACTTTCTTTAACTCGACTTTCTGAAATCACATTCTTCTTTGAAACTTGCAATATCTGGTGGAAATGCTAAAATACGCAGACTGTGTTATGTCTTGCGATTCTGACAACTTTATCACAACAGACTAAAAGCTTAGAACCCTATATGCCTTCTTGGTTCTAGAGACATCGCTGCTCGTCTTCATTGAGAACAGCGCGTCGTCCGGACCATTCAATTCAACTCACCTTTCCATTAGAATCAGACTAGCTCTTCGAAGGACGGAAAGCCTGTTATTTCTTACCGACTGTCAAGAAGAAAACGGGTTAGTTGGGACTTAGGAGTTAGGACAAAGTCCTGATCATGGGCTACACATTTGTGCAAGGGGCGTCCCGGCCCAGCCCATGAATCAGCCAGTCAAGTGGATTTGTGTTAGCGAGGTGGGCCAATAATGGATATGAATGAATAAACCCAACTTTTAGTAAATTTCATAGAAGAAAAGAACCATCCCTGGATTGCTATGCTGAGAATCAAATCGCCTCGTCGTATCTGAGAGGTTCTATTCCATCTTCATGGAGTGTTCTGCCCATCTCTTTATTAGTCACTGCTACATCTTCTCCTTTTATTCACTGTAGAGAGATGCGAAACAGGAGGTAACCTCGTTCCGCCTCGTGCCTCATCGACCTCTCTTGAGTTTAGACTGTTTTTTCCCCATATTTATCTCTGAATTCTACAGGCTTTTTAAGCATATACCGTTCAACCGGGGCAAAGAAAGCTATTCTGGTCCTCATGTTTTGCTTTCTTTCCATCTTTCTGCTCACAAAAAAGATATTCTTTTACTAGGCCACATGTAAGGTTGGTGCAATTCGTTTTCATTTTCGTGGGCTTTATGGGGAATAAGATTAAAATATATATTAATAAATATAAAATTAAGGCTCCGGACCTAGACTAGCAGCTGTACAGCCCAGGGAGATCCAGGACATTTTTACAGAGAAAGAGAGAGAGAGAGAGGAACATATTAGAAAGGATAGAGCATCTGTTTGTTGTTTTGTCTTGTTTTCTTTGTTGAAATACTAGCATGGGTTGGTTGTATTGACTTATCTAGCTAAAGCTTCTCCACTGTTTGCTGGCTTTATCTTTTTTGTGAGCAGGAGATATCATCGATCATGTAAACCGTTGCATGAATTTGGGAGCTTGGGATCAGGTGGAGTCGCGGTCTAACCCCTAATTCCTTCCTCCCAATCCCATTCCACCGCCTCTGACACGGTACTTTCTCACATTTTCTCTATGGAATATGGATCGCTGAGTTTGTTTCAACTTAAAATGGGCGAAAATAATGTTTAGGCTGAAATCTTTGAATCATAATTTGGGCCTTTTTACGGTGACAACTTTATTAATTATTATCTTGTCATTACATCAAAACAAATTTATTTTCTGTTGAAAAAGGGCGGAAATAATAGCTGAAGTATTACAGCTAGCCTGAAAAATTGTATAGCAAATGTAGTCTATGATCTATATATGTTGAGAATTTGACAATCCTGGCCATATGATCTGATCAAGTGCAGTAATTTGGATGCTCCCTAATCTTTATTAAAAAGACAATTTACCCCTATTAGGTCTCGAAGAAGAAGAGGACAAATTAGGTCAATCCACTAGGGGTATTCTGAGTCCTGAGTCAACATGTGCTGGGCCGTGGGTTTTTGCTTCTCGGTGACAGATGAGTGCTCGGATCTGTTACCCATGTGATGTTTGTAGGAATGGCAATTTTTTCCGTTTCTCTGATATATATATATATATATATATGAACACATATATCTATATATTAACATTTTTTAAAATATAGTTGAATATGTTTGAATTTTTTCATTGTAAATTTTAATTATTTGATTTTTATTTTTTAAAATAAAATAAAAAATAAAACAAAATGGTTAATATTATAAAAAATCACGGGGAATGGGGATCCCCGCGGGGATGGGGATAACCTTGTCCCCGTTAGTGAGGACGGGGATGGAGACGGGAATGGGAAGAGGCTCCCCGTCCCCGCCCCGCCCTGTTGCCATTCCTAGATGTTCTCACATCTCTACCCACGAGACATGACAACTGCACATTGGGAATATCTCCTTTGTCATTCAACGTGAGGTGTTCCCAATACATGGTATTGGTGCTCCGTGGGTATGGAACATGGGAATAACTTGTGGGTAGCAGATCCCGAATCGACAGATGGAGTCCATAGACTGCAATCCAGATTTTTCCTCACATAATGGTCCTCAGACCTCTCACATAATGTTTTGAGATGGGTATGAGGAGGAAATCCATAGAGATTAGGGTTGTGGTTGGTATCATTGTTGTTTCTACTAACAACGTTTGGGATGTATCAATAAAAATTTTTGAAAAATTATCTTGTCACATCACATAATATAGTCATTTTTACTAAAAAAGAAATAATGTGTACACTGGATTGGTGTTGACATTTATAATAGATGCATCAAATTCGTTGTTTCGTGAAGAAGTGACAATAATACCAGGCTTATCAATATATATTACTAAAAGTGGAATATAAATAATGGTCTATTTTAACCAAAATTTTTATTGATAAATCCCAAACATTTTTAGTAGAAGTAGTAATGATACCATAGACAACCTAGACTAATTGGATCATATTAAGGAGGTGTTCTTTTTTCGGATTTTGAGAGGGGGGAAAGTTGGTCAATGGGATTTTAGTTCCCATTGACCAAGAATCCCATATTCTTTTTTTCAGATTTATGTGAGGATCAGAGAAAGTTTATTTTCTTGGGTATCACTTACCCAGGTAAATAATCTTCCCACCTAGGGGTAAAGTGCCAACACTTGAATGGGACAAAAATGCCCCTTTTAATAATCGGTTTTTATGGCTAAAATGGTCATTGCCTTAATTATATGAAAAATAAAAGAACATGGGTAAATGAACTTACCCGGATAAGGTAAGTGTTTCCTAAGAAAAACTTACACAGGTAAATTATATTTACCTGGATAAGTAATTTACTGAAAAACGAACGGGGCCTAAGTGTTGGCATCATGTGACTAGGCCCTACAAATAGTTTTTCTGTTTTTTTATTTTAACGAAAGACTGGATTCTCATTGATAGAATCAAGAAATAGGAAGGGGCTACTTGTCTAAATGAATGATCTTGCTAATTTTTTATACGGTTCCTCATTCTCCACTTTACGTAGCGCAGGGAGAGACTGCCGATTTGGTGGTGTAGAGGAAAAGTTGGGGTTTGAATGGATAGAGTCTGCTGGCCATACTTCGATCCCGAGTACGAGAACCTCAGTCTCCGAATCAATCCTCCAAGGTTGTCTTTCTCTCTCCTCCTCTCTTTTTCTAAGTACGTAGGTCTCTAGAATTGCCACTACCGTCCACGATTCCCACAATTTGTCGTAGAGCTCGTACCAATCGGATAATTGGATTGATGGTGATGGAACAACAATTCTTGCTTTTGTTTGTTCTAAAACATCTCATCTCTTTCTAATGCAGGGTGTCTGTCGATAACTCCACTTGCAAGGACTCTACCCTGGTTAAGGTATACTCTCACTTCTTTATTTGCTAGACCCAGTTTGCACTCTTTTAATATTTGTATAAGGCTACCGTACCTCAAGATGCTATATGCGTTGCGTGGAACCCATAATTTTTGCACTCAACCCATCTGATCTACGTCCAAAAGAATGAAGTGTTTTTTTTTTTTTTTTTTTGGTAAACCCAAAAGAATGAAGTAGAAAAGCACGCAGTTGCACTCCTCATTAATTGGGCCCGGTTAATTTCTATGGATTTACCTATTCAATTGCGGATTTCGGTTCTTTGTATACGGGAGCTGGGCAACGCACTGGGCCTAGGCATTTTTTGGACCCAGGTCCAGACCATAAGTCGCCAGTTGCCACTTGATGCTACTGCTCTCAACAAAGAAGGTTGTAGACACAGACTCGTAGATTGGCTACGGGGCCTCCTACAAGCAAAAATTCTACAGACTGCAAGTATGGGCATCCAGCCGCTCATAAGAATATCACTCCATGAATTATTCATACATCGGAGATATTCCAGATGTGCGGTTGGATGACGTGTGTGCACAGAGGTTTTGCTTGCCAGCAAGAGAAATGGGTTTCCATAGATTGTCATGCTGAAACTGTGAATTTATTGGATGGGAACTGTGTTGACTACGACACTGTTGGCCACATTCATCCAGCGGCACATTGGAACATCTCTTGTGTTTTATATCCTAATATTCTCGATATACAGCTGGATGAACGTGGCCAGCAATGTGTTATGAGATCAGCAGAGTCATACTCCAAATGGCATGCATGCATCCTCACTAAAAAGATTGGCTAGCCATAGCCTATTGACATGATGGGATGCTTCAGAGTACACAGTTCTGTTTAATTTTTAGGCTGGCTTTGTTTCCTGTATAAGATGAACCTAGAATTTTTCACACTGAAATGTTTCAGCTATTATTTATCTTTGAGCCTTTTGCAGTGAAAGCTCTGTTTTCCAGTCCTGCTATTTTGCTAATTTGTTTTGACGCAAATAGTAAAGAAACCAAAGTTTTTTATTGTAAAAAAGCAAAAATATAATTCAAATATTTCAGCCTGAAAAATATGTGTTGAAATGTTTGGAGCCTAAAGAGAACTCTTTCCCACGGTAAAATAGTAAATACATTAGAATCATTTGGTTATAAATCAGAAATCAGAATCATCTTATGGTTTTACCAAAAAAGAAAGAAGAGCATAACATGTTTTAGGGGCCTCGGCCCTGGCCCCTGAGACGGACTTTGCGTACCGTGTCCTTGTATCAAAACATATGATAAATTCATGAGGTGCTTGGTTGAAGCCCTTCGGGTACCATGTCTTTCCAGTATTATAGATTTCCCCAATACATAATAAATCACAGCTTCTTTTGTTTTTAATTTTCTCCGTGGAGAGGAAAGGAGTAGTGTCGCTTAATATCATAAACTTTTACTTGACACGCCATTCAATTTTCATATATTTAGAAATGGTTTTCATCTAAACCCAACAAATAAATGAAGTATGGAACGGTTAAAGATTTTGGGCAGGTGATAAGCAAAGAATGACCAAACTTTGGTTTTATAAATTTTCCTTTTTACTAATTAGTGGACAATTTATGTATATATTCAGAAACCAAATATCAGGTATTTTTTAGCCTGTACTTTTGAAAATTTGAATTATATGGATATCCTACATTTTTCATGGTTAACTAAACATATATTTTTGTACTTTTGATAATTATTTTTGGCATGATTTTGAAGAAATCGGATGCGCAATTTTACAAACTACTAGGGTGGTTTTTGGCATCGAAATCATTTCTTTAAGACATCCACCATGTCAGTGCTATGTAGGCATTTTGCTCTCTCATTTTTTTTTTTATTTGGTTGAGTGCTTTCAAGATGTTTCAAGCAACATTGGATGCCTCAAGTTCTGTAATAGCTATTTTTGAAAAAACATCATTTTGATATGCTGCATCTATTTGGCACCAAAAAAGAATATGAAATATACGCAGAACCCAAAGTTATTTAACCGAATTCTAATCCGTGGCTGTTTTCTGAGAAAATGGCAATGATACCAAACGCCATGTAAGAATGGCCCAGGCGGGATCATTTTGGGCTTTAGCAGTAGAATCTATTCAAGGCTCAATTTGTAAAAGGCAAAAAGGGATTAAAAGGAAAGAGAAAACAAAGAGAGGTTGCCCACTTAAAGAGTCTCACTGGTGGTGTACCCTCGTCTCAAGTTGGGACTTCGAGTGCATTGTTTATACCAGCTCTCTACCCACAGGCTCCTCTTCTCCTCAACTCAGGTAGGGTTCGACATACTGGTCGAGATATAACAAAGCTCGTAGGCATGAAATGGAACGGGTCAGTCTGATCCCGGACGATTAACATTACTGAACAGAAATCCAGAAGAAAAGTCGAGACATGCAATGGGCTATGACTTCTGGGCATGTATGGGAAACGTAGTTCACGACTTCACTTATGCACTTACTCTAGGACAACAAACCCCCTATGGGAGACGTAGTTCACGACTTCACTTATGCACTTGTGTTAGGACACAACATACGCCCCCAAAATAAAATAAAACTTATGTAGGACAAAATGTCCCTTTAATTTCTTATTTTATGGTATAGATAATTGGGTTGGGGTGCAGGTGGACAGCGTGAACAAGCCAGGCATATTACTGGAAGTGGTGCAAGTCCTCACCGACCTTGACCTCGTCATCACCAAAGCTTACATCTCCTCTGATGGCGGGTGGTTCATGGACGGTATGTATCTTTGTGATTGTTCTTTGAAAGTTCCTTAATTTCTCCATCTCAGACACATAAATAGTAGTCAAGCAACTAATTATACTTTATCAAAACCAACAGTGTTTCACGTCACTGACCAACAAGGGAATAAGGTTACAGACACAAAGACCATTGAATATATAGAGAAGGTACGTCTCTCTCTCTCTCTCTCGGGAACGCGTGCTTCTTATGCAAGGGTTTGCGATAAACCATTTTATTATTTCCACCAATATCTTCTACAGCAAACGTCTATAAAAACTTCCAAATTATTTTCTAACCTTAAGAATAGAAAACGAACAGTCAACAGATGCATCAAGAGTGCATTCAAGTCCTTAAGTCCCCCAACATATTGTAGAAGCAGAGAAGCCAATTTCTTTGGTCATTCTACCCGAGTTTTGTTTCTGAACGAAACACTTCAATAGAAAACTGAAAATTTACAAAAAGCAGTTATATTCTCTAGTAAAGAGGACATACACGATATACTGCATCCCCTATGTGTGGAATATAGTTCATTAGGCAATCACCTACTGTTCAATTGGTAGCAACAATTGGAATGGAGAAAACTGTCCATTTCTAATTAATTTAGGTTATATATGAAGCACCCTCCCGGCCGGCTACTGTATGGGAGATGTAGTTCACTTATTGTTAGACGAATGGGTTTCAATAGGTGGCTAACTGTTGAAATTAACTCTTAATGCGCGCTCTTTGTTTTCCTTCAATTAATCTTATTCTTTTCTTTTTTGTTACTACTCCCATATTTCATTCGTTCTATTCTGATTTATGTGTCATTTATCTTCTTTTATAGGTTTTAGGACCGAAAGGCCATACTGTGGCCACAAATGGAGTGAAGACTTGGCCGGGGAAGAGGGTGGGGGTACACTCCATTGGTGATCACACAGCTATTGAACTCATTGGCAAGGATCGCCCAGGTCTTCTGTCAGAGATCTCAGCCGTTCTTGCCAATCTCCATTGTAATGTTGTTGCAGCAGAGGCCTGGACCCATAACATGCGTGTAGCTTGTGTATTTTATGTCAATGATGACACTACATGTCAGGCTGTGGATGACCCAATCCGGTTATCAGCAATGGAGGAACAACTCAAGAACATCCTACGTGGACATGAGGATGATGGGAAAGCAGCTCAAACCAGTTTCTCCATGGGGCTTACTCATATGGATCGTCGTCTCCACCAAATGATGTTCGCAGATAGGGACTATGAAGCTGGTGGAGTGACTGGAGACATAGATTATGCTCCATCTTTCCGGCCAATTATCACAGTTGATCGTTGCGAGGACAAGGGGTATTCAGTGGTGACTGTCCGGTGCAAAGACCGGTCAAAATTGATGTTCGATATTGTGTGTACACTAACAGACATGCAATATGTTGTCTTTCATGCTGCCATCTCATCTGATGGTCCCTCTGCTCTACAGGTATAAATTTGATTATTCCCTGAAAAACAATCTGACATGGGCATTATTGTTACCATTTTTTCATAAGAATTGGGTAAAGTCAGAATTTATACCTGCGGATTTAGCATGGGCATTAAGAATTTAGTAAAATACAATACTGCATGATGTTAAATCCGCAGGTATAAATTTGTCGATACTATTACTATCTGACATGAAATTTAACTAAATAATGGCTATACAAATAATTCACATTGATTCAACCCTCTACCAAACTGACAAAATACCCTTATTGCCCAAAAATACTTCATCAATACTTGTCAACAAACTCTGATACGATTTACTAATTAGGCTTTTTTTTTGGAAATTATAGGAATATTATATACGTCATATGGATGGTTGCTTACTTGACACTGAGGGAGAGAAAGAAAGGGTTGTCAAGTGTCTTGAAGCTGCAGTTCGGCGAAGAGTATGTGAGGTGAGTGAAAATCTTCATATTAAATTAAAAAATCCTTATTATTTCTCTTTGTATTCTTCTCTGTTAATAATAAAATAAATAGAGATTATTTTTAACTTGAGCTTGAATATCTGAAAAGTGAAAATAGCTTAAGGTGGTATTCTTCAATATAAAGGGAAGAAGGGCAAACATGACCTTTAGGCTCCGTCAGAGTGCAAATGCAAATATGTAGAGTGCCTTCTGGTCATGCAAATGCAAAGTTGGTTTTGTCTTACATTGACAAATCTGTTTTTCTGCATGTTAGTTGTAAAGGGTTCAAACATGAATTCTTAGATTGGAATCTATCTTTTTTTACATTAACCAACTTTAAGTATAAAGTTTGCGTCCATTTTTTTATGCAAAGTCTGCTTTCATTTTGGATGCAAACAATCTATACTATTATTAATACTATTATTAAGTGTGAATGATAGTGTGGAACTTTTGTTTGACCAAAATATCCCAATTTCTGAATTTGATAAAATGTAATTTGAACAACCACTTTTCTCTTCTTTCAAATCCCTTTTATTAAATCTTATATTTAAGATATTAATGCTATTTAACATTTATTGGTTCATATTCAAATTTCTTTCATTAAGTCTTATGTTTAAGGTATTAACTCTCATTCTTTCTTTGAATCGTATATTAATTAACCATATTAATAAAGCATGTGTTATAAAGAATATTTTTTTACTGATGATAGAAATAAAATACAAATTTAAAATCAACCCAGAAATAGAGTTGTTTTCTTATTTGGTGGAAGTCAACAATTCAACCTTTTGGATCAAATGTGTCAATCCTAAATGTTATAATTAAATAATAATAAAAATTAAAAAAGATAAAACACACAAAAATATAATAAATACAAACAAAGTGTAAAAAACATTTGGGCACATATCTAATATCATATATTCATTATATTAAACAAAAATAAGTATGAAAAACAAAAATATTTTTTATAGACATATAAATATAAAAAAATAAAAAAATGAAAACATATTATTTATTATCATCATCATCAAAAAATGCCTCATGCACGTGGCCTTGAAATTTGTGAAACCTATCTCTTTCAATACATACATGCATTTTTACACTAAATAAACCTGAACCAGAGTGCATATATGCACTGAACCACATTTGCGCTCTTCGCAAAGGGAGCCTTAATGTCATCATGACGTGCAGCACCTGCTGGGTGATCCTGTGCCCCCCTATTGTAACTATGCTAGATGTTTCAGACCTTCTACAGCAACTTCTGTGTGGCCCTACAATGATAATGTTCAGTTTATGTTATTAAGCTGTAGATTTGGCTTCTCATAATGTCAAGATTAGCATTGGGATACTTCCATATTATGACAAATTTAATTAGTATGCAAGTTTAATTACTCTTCTCTGCAAAACATCCGAGTACCTGCATATTACTTGGAATTTTGACTGACTCAACCCTGGAAGATTGCCCATTTAACAACCAACTTGGTATGGTATGGAAATCTAATGAGTGGGCTGACCTTCTGGAAGATGAGGTTGAAGCTATTTATCAAGAAAAAATCCAACTTAAACAACCTTTCTTCTTGCCTTAGATATTTCTTTCAAGCATCTTTCCATTCTAGTAATAAAAAAATTAAAGGAAAAGAAAACTAATAATGCAATTTTTAATTTTCATCATTGATCATTCTGCATGTTTTCCCCAACTCTTTGGGTGGGGCACCTAGATGAGAGGTTAGACTATTAAATTCATGAATGCCAGAGAAGCAAGTATTGGCCATTAAATGGTTGGTGGAGCCCAAGCCAATCAGACTATTTTTGACTGGCTGCTATATACTCCCAAAAGTCTTTGTATCCTATTTCAAACCAAAATTCTGGTTAAAACCTGCCTTTGGTCAAACTAAGCCAATTTGCTTCGTTAATTGTATTCTTTTTTCCAATGCATTGTCAAGGATCTCCGTTTCCTTCATGCCTTGCCATCTCACTTAACTTTAATCTTTCTTTTCCATTTTAGCACCTAGGGTAGGATAATAAGTTCAAGGTGGCTGCATATAGTTCAACCTAGGCCTTGCCATTTATGCCATTTAATACAACTCTTTTTTCCTTAAATGTAATGTAGGGTCTAAGCTTAGAGCTTTGTGCAAGGGACAGAGTAGGATTACTATCCGAAGTAACTAGGGTTCTCCGCGAGAATGGATTGTCTGTTACAAGAGCAGGGGTGACAACAGTTGGTGGGCAAGCAATGAACATATTCTATGTGAAAGATGCTTCTGGGAATCCCGTAGATATGAAGACTATTGAAGCACTTCGTAAAGAAATTGGACACACTATGATGTTCAATGTGAAGAAAGTCCCAGATGCAAGTGACAAAGAACCCGAGTCTAGAGGATGGGCCAAGTCAAGCTTCTTTTTTGGGGGCTTGTTTGAGAGGTTCATGGCTTGAAATATGTACCTTAACTCACATTAACTCATTTAATGTATAGTACTTTGAAGATGTTCAGTGCAAGATGTGGAAAGGATGATATATATTTGAATATAATATTGTAGCATAATTCTCTCTTAATTTACAATTCTCTGTGGTCAACTAAAGTAAATCTAATATGTATTGTAAGCATTATTCTTTTGTCTATAGGAGCTGATTCCTTGTATGGATCATTAAATCACAGAAAACTAGCCCGCCTTGCCACCTAAGTTTACTTCAGGTGGAGGGACGGCCATCTAAATCCAACAACAAAAAATTAAATCACAGGGGAGGACGTTAGACGTAGCCTGCCTTGCCTCAAAATCCAACAACAGAACACACAACCTTACCCTCTCAAAATCCAACAACAATACAAGGCTCAAGAAACAAAAAAATTAAAAGCCAATCAAAAATAAACAAGACCATTAACTTATACAAAGTGACGGAATCCCAAAATAGTCAGAAATAATCTTGCCTCTCTTGAAACCTCATTGATGGAATTGTAAGCATAATAGTCTCCTTCATTAATACCCTCATTAGCAAAGAAGTCGGCACATTTGTTCCCTTCTTTTAATGTATAAGAGAAAGAAAGGTGCATAACAATACATGTTTTCTCAATTTTCCGAAGGATATAAGTTAGATGCCAAGGGTGGGGAATTTTTACAAGGAGAATATCAATTAAGCATTGATTATCACTTTCATTCTCTACCTCCAAAATGTTGTGAGATAAGAAAATCTAAATGCCATCATAGAGAGCATTAAATTCAGCTCTAATCGCCATAAAAGTTGTGGAAGGAAAACACCATCCGCATTTTTATAAGACTAAGAAAGTTTACGGCAGTTTCCAGGTGACCCACCTAATACTTTCCTTCCAGTAACATCAATTATAAATCTGCTTGTTCGTTAATAAGCATAGACCTTGATTATGGTCTTAATTGGAAGAACACTTGGAGGATGCCTTGCACTCAAAGAGTTGTGACATTTGTTGTTTGTAATGTTTTCAAAACCGGGAATCGGTCACCTGATCAGTTCCGTTTTATCCCAAAACTGTTATTTGGCCAAAAATTATTGATTTAGTCAGTAAATCGCTAACCCAGGTGATCAAACTGTTGAATCGTTTGACTAGGGAATGGTTTTTGGTCGCTTTTTTTTTGGATTTTTTTAAATTTTTTATATGTTTGTCAAAGCAGGTCATCCATTTGGACCGGATGATTGGACCATTCGACTCAGGAACCAGACCCATAATAGTTTCCTGTCCGGTCCGATTTTAAAAACCTTGGTTGTTTGTCCCCCATAACCATTTGGCAGAAGTGAGAGTTGTTTCAAGGCAACGAGTTACTAATCCTGGTTCTATTTATGAGCCTTGAAGGCATGCTTGTTTTGTTTATGCTCTTCTTCAGAGGTGTGGAATATTAGAGTTCTATGTAGTATGTAATCAACCCTATTGCCCTTTTCCTGCGATGAGTAACCTTCAAAACCTCTTCCTTGATGGTTACTACTCTGCAGATCACCCTTGTGGCCTCGTGGGCTAGTATGTTCTCAGAAGTGATATCCACCCCTTCTCGTTCTACATTGAACCAAGGTTTAAAATTTCTTCATGTATCGGCCGATACGTATTATTCCAGCAAGTTTTCGGCATGGTACATGGTACCAAATTGAATGTGTCGTATCTATTCGTCGTATCGAGGTCGTATCGTGCCCATATCATACCCGTATTGTTGAGTATTAGTGCGTTTCGGAAGCCTTCTTTACTATGGTGGAAACACAAATAAAAATCCTTTCGAAAGAGGGTTTCTAAACCCATTTCAAAAGCCCTCTTTCTTTTTCCAAACCCTTCAAAAAGTTTTTTAACCTTTTTGAAGACTCAAATATTGTGAAAATTTGTCAAAACATCTATAAATTTGCAAGATTCAACAAGTTTTTCAAGGTTGTGAAAAAAGGAGTGAAACTAAATATTTTTTCAAATTTCTTTTACATTTTCAGCCAATGTTAGAAAAGATAAGGGGAAAGAAAGTGGTTTTCCCCCCTACTCCTTCGCTTCGACAAGACCCCCCTTTTAACAACTATTATGCATTTTTATTTTTCTTAATATAAAAGTTTTTTATTAAAGATAAAGAAAAAATATGAAATCCCTCCTTCCTCCTTCCTCCTCTTAAGGAAGTTTATACCTCTTGCATTATGAACTATGCTTCACGCCTCTAGGTAGTGGAATGCCTCTGTGTTTTAAAACATTGATATTTGTTTTTTTTATTTTTAGAATAAAACATGCAAAATAATTATTTGAATAAAAATAAATAATTATTTAGTTTTTAGAAAATTAGAATAAAACATGCAAAATAATTACTTGATCTATTATGTCCATAATTAGATAGTATATTTTTATTCCCAACTTTCCTTTTATTGATTATAATATGTTTTTCAGAAAACCCACTAAAATGTGTTATTTTTATGCATAAATAGCTTATTTATATCTTATATTTAGTGATATCGATGTTTATTTATGATTTATTAGAGTATTTATAGTATTTCCATGTGTTTCCATGTATATCTTAATTTTTTGGCCGTATCCATGCATATCGAAGATGTATTCTGATACATCTCTTAAATTTACTTTTCTGATACACATAGTGTTTCCTATACTTTAAACCTTGCATCGAACAAGAGCTAAAACATCTTAACTGCAACAAAGAAAGACAATTTGGCTGGAGAGAGCTCCAACAAAATAAGTTGTTGATTTGATGGGAATCATGGGCTGAGGAGCCATTTGCGTCAGAAGTTGCTGAACTAAATACTAAATGACTCGTTGGTTACTTGCTTGGTCTTTTACTGAGCATTTGCGTCAGAAGTAGGTTGTGAACTCCTTATTACTGGATGGCATGTCGGGTTGATTATTATGCTCTCAATTCAACCACTTCACCCGTAACCAAACAAAATCAGGTCTCCTACCGACACCTGGGAAATGATTAATCTCACATTGGACTTTTGCAAGGAAGGGAACAGTTTGGCTTAAAGGAAAAAGTAGGAAAAAAACGGGAATTGTAAGGTAAGGAAACTTTTATAAACCTTTGATAAGTGTTCCTACCTTTTTCTACTTTTTCCTTCAAACCAAATATAGCCTAAAGAAAGCTTATTTCCTAATTGGGTTAATTAACATAAACCCAATAACATATATGCCACGTAGATGATACATAGAGGGAAAAACTTTAATTGTTAGGGGACAACACCCTATGCGAGAGAATTTTTGGGAATGCTATTTTACTTGAGAATGGATAAATTAGTAATAATATCTTAATTTATTTTTACTAAAAACCAATGCATGGGCAGAATAGGTGCACTGCCCAGAACGTGCCCAACCTATTTTTCAAGTCTACATCAGCCTCACGCTTCACAAACCAAGGATTTTAAAAATGAACCGGTGGCCGAATCGGTCAGGGGTCCGGTTATCGGTTCGAACGGTCTGACTGTTTGATCTGAACGACTGGCCCGTTCTGACTAAAAAAATAAAAAATTGAAAAACGGTCAAAACCGTTTAAACGGTTAACTGGCCGGTTCAGCGGTTTGCTGACCAAAATCAACGGTTTTGGAGGAAAACAGAACCGGTCAGGTGACCGGTTCCCAGTTTTTCCAGTCCGATCCAGTTTTGAAAACAGTGTCATGAAAGCGTGTAACCCTACACTGAGACAATGAATTCAACGACTTTGATGTTTTATGGTCCACCTTGAATTAGAAGAAGTGGAGAGTGATGCATCAGGTGCAATACATCAAAGGCCTTATTCTCGGTTTTAAACATGTGCCATGCAATGATACTTAGCAAATGTGAATTCCATGCATCAGCCTCACAATCGTGGTTTTAAAAAATGATTAGGAAATGGAACCATTCTTGCCACCAGTTTCTGGGTTAACGGCTTTCTACAATAAAAATTAAAAGAAATAAAAAAAATGGCCAAAAATCATTAAATGGGTCTACGGGTCGATAGTTCGACCACATGGGTCAATGGGTAATTGACTGATTCAACAATTTTTTGCCAAGAACCAGATTTGGGGTAAAACAGAAATGATTGCCTGGACGGTTCCTGGGCCGAACGGTCCAACTGTCCAGAACAACAGCAGTTTGAAAACATTACTCACAATCAGGGTGTTTGGTACCATTTACATTTATTTAGTAAATGTTTATTGATAGTGCCACATAGGCGCCATCTCAGCATTTTTTCTCTTGCTCTTCTGTATACATTGAAAATGTAAAAAATGAAATTTGGATTATATGCATACCAACTGTTTATAAAAGTTATTTTTTAAAGCTTCTCGATTTTACCAGCAAATAATATACAAATGTTTATTCAATAAACATAAGAAGATGCAAATTTTAGTGAGTGATGTGACAATAGGTTTTATGCTGAAAGTTATCCGATCAAGGTGTATGGGATCCAGATGCGAAGTGAAGAATTGTGTCATAAGAACATTTTTGGGTCATCTAAAGCTATCTATATGTTGATCTAAGTTTTTTAAAGGACCCCATAGGCAGCGAATACATTCAGCTTCTCACCCTTTTATTGAGAAATAGAAAACTAATGGAGAAAAGGCCGAAGAAGCTAACAAGATTGAAGATGTTTCGATGCGAAATTTCACTGATCTATCCTACCTTTTTTTAATAGCGAACCTTTGGCTGCCTTTGTTCCCATGTCAAAGGTGTCGATAAAACAAAGTTTGGCTATAAAGGAGACATAAATAAAACTGGAATTTTACAAAATAAAAAAAAAAAAAATCAAACTACTTAACCGTGAAATAAATGGAGCTTGATGAAAAAATGAATGAATAGAGAAGATAGGCCAAAGAAGCTCTCAGAATGATTGTTAATTACTTAATGGGAGATAAAGGGAGAAAAAAAAAAAAAAAAACTTGGACAGGCTGCCTTGGGTAATGGTCGACACAACTCAAGCCCAATCAAGCTGATCATTTCAGGTTGGATTGGGCTTGACATTTCATTCTTTCTTCCTTTGTTTAGTGAACAGAAATGACTTGATTACATTTGGTGGGTTATGTAGTAAGTCAACGTCAAATGAGCTGAACAAGGCCTCACTCTTGGAAGCCTAGGATTGTGTTGT